CAAGCCAACAGTCTGCCAGGAGCTCAGGTGAGTTCGGACAGTGCAGGCCAAAGAGCTCAGAGCAGACGGTGCACACACGCTGGTTTGTCCACAGGCAGGTGGTGGGCACAGCAGCAACACGACTGCAGAAATGGATCCCCTCCCAGGCTGCCACTAAGCAAGTCCTGCCGTGGGGCAGCTTGTGGAGAATCTGGCAGCAGAATCCCCTCCTGGCTGCTGAGAGCATGCAGAGTCTCTTCAGAGGGACAAGGTGGAGTCCATCCCTGAGCCTGCATTGGAGGAGATCGAGGGAGTTGGCACTCAAAGGAGCCTACCGTATGTGGAGCTATTATTGTTCTCCCCACGAGGACATGCGCACCAGTACGGGTCCTTGCATGACGCCTGGAACAAGTTTAATTCTGGAGGCCTCTGGCATGTACTCACGCTGAAGGGTCATTACAGACACGAATGAAGCTTGTGTCCCTGGAAAGCTTTCAAACAGCAAGTTGGCTTCTTGGCAGATGTGGCACTCACATGCCACCAGCAGCAGTGGAGGAGAGCAACTGAAGTCAGCAGACTGGAGAGGTGTCAACGCAGAGAATGTGGCAGGAGGCCAGAGACAGTGCACTCTGAAACCTGGAAGGCAGGACTTGGGCTGAGGTCACACCATTCAGAGCAGCTCCCGAGACACAGCAAGACTGAGACTGACATTCTAGCTATTGCCTGTCACTGTCACAGCCTTGAGAATCACCTCCTGCTGTCATTCATCCTGTATTTTCATACCACGCACACCTCAGATGGAGCAGACTCATCCAGAACCACACCTATGGCACAGGATGCTGCAATCAGGTCTCAAGTACAGGAAAGGAGTGACAGAAAACCCTTCCTCATGACAAAGATCTTATCACGTCTCTCATTTCAGGGGCACCCAAGAGCACTTGAGGAAGCCAGGTACCCAATTCCTGAGTAGGCATCACTTCCTCTGCTCCTGTACATCTCATCCCCAGTGACAGGGCAGGGCAGATTTACAAACAGTTCAGGACAGGAAGTGAGCCTAAGGGAAGAATTACTGATGATGATTAGTCAAAGAGGAATTTGCCTGGGCACAGGGACCAGTCAAAGGTCACACACCCACAGGGCCATCTGTAGCTTATGATAAAAAATGAGTCTGCTCAGGGGAGACTCCCCTCTGGACACCACCTTCACCAGGTTACAGAGTCTCAACCTGAGGCTGGATTTAACAGGTACCTGACAAGCACACAGGGCAAAGGAGAGTCTGTAAAGATCCTCTTGCTCCCCTGTACTCCGTGTTCCAGCTGCTGTACCAATAATCTTAAGAAGTGTTAGTGCTTCAAAGGCATATGCACAGACCGTGTCCAGGGAGAGGCAGCTGGTCAGCCACACGTGCAGCTGCCCATTATGCCACCCTGTCACCCATCAGGACCAGGACCCGTGCTGGTAAACTGGTCAGACCGGCCCCCTGGGCCGGCAGCCGCGGTAGAGAGGGGCTCAGCTGTGACTCCTGCACCGTGTCACCGGTCACACCAGAGCCCACGTGTGCCGCGCTCCTGCCCCGAGCTCCCGGCGGGTCGGCGCTGGCAGCCGCCCGTCCGGCACCGCCCCG